CATTTGACAAAGTGAGTGAGCTGGAAAAATCGTGATGAAGGTTAAAAGAACGCGAATTCACTTTTAATTAATGCAACGTTTTCGCCGCTGTCCTCAGATCTTAGGGTCCCTATTATGAGGCTTGTGTATAATAATAAAAAAAACCTAGTTTGCTTTACGAGTTTTTCTTTTTTAGTATTTATTAGGGCTGAAAGATTTACAACACAAGGTACATGTAAGAAGGAGGACCCTCCTATTTCAAAGCTGTCCACGTTGACGTCTCTTAATTTCTCTGTCACAATGAAATTCTTCCGCTCGCTTGCACTTGAGAATCAGTGCAGTATCTTTTTTAGCTGAGAACTCATTTTCACTGCGTTCTTATTGTTTGTTAGTACTTTCAAAGAGCTGTTAATTTGCACGTCTTCATTATTTTATCGGTTGCCGAGCACAGGCGTGCACAAAGATCTACCACAATGCACCGCAGACCATGAAACGCGAATCATCATGCATCATGCATCATGTTTCATGGGAGCAACCTCAACTGAAATAGGTGTCTGGGGTGTTTTCACTCACGTGGTCAGCATCTATGCAAATTTTAATATTGGAAAAAAGAAAGCGTTTGCATAAGAAAGGAGTTCAACTCCCACAGGACTGGTTTGGGACACCAACGTGGCCGCCGTTTCATTGTTTTGGGACACCAATATGGCCACCGTGACGTCATGCAAAAACACTCTATACTTGCTCAAAAATCTTACTCTCATGAGTAGATGTGGCCCAAGTCTAGTACAACTTCTCGGTGAATTAGTGATTTCAAGATCGTTTGTATCTTACAAATCTGAGGAAGGGCACCATAGAAAAGGATAAAAAGAAAAAAGAAAAAAACTACACCAACGTGCATACTAATGATATCTCAAAGGTTCTACTAATGATCATCGATTTGATGCCGACAATTTCATTTAGAATCAGGGCCGTAGCTACAATCTTTGAGAGAATATAATGGCACAGCAAATCCCCATTCCCCTAAATCAAGGATGAAGCCGCGCAAAAGTCAAAAAGCGCCATTTTCTCATCCTTGATTTGGCGGAGTGGGGGGGGGGGGGAGAAAATTTTCCCTTCTTTTTTGTCTAAGGTTGTGTGGAATGGGTA